CCGTACTGTTTGAACAGTCAAGAAATTTTTCCTGCTGTCCAGCCAGAATTTGGCTTCCTGTAGCTTAAGTCCATTATTCTGTGTCCTGCACTCTGGACATGTCTTTTTCCATACATATGCAGCCTAGGCTAAACACCCTGGCCTGCTTGTTCACCTGTTGCAATATCCCAATATTCTGGGAAGTATATACTAAGAACTACAGGATGAAGCAGAAGCATCTGTGAGGTCACAGGGCTGTACATTGACTATGGGTACCCAAGTCTGCAGCAGAAACTGACAATGAATGGAAAGAAGAAGTTGTGTGGGGGACCATTTCGATAGTGATTGGAAGGGGCTTCAGCCTGCTGCCAATGCTGCTGATAATGCTCAGACAGCATTGGTCTATCTTTCTATCATGGCAGTTTGATCTGCCATTGCTTACTTGAACATATAATCCAAGGCATACATGCTTTCACACTGAGCAGTAGTTACCGACTCTCCAGAAGTGTCTATGCTTTGATTAAAATGGCATGTTCCACACAGACAGGGGACTATAATCCTATCTGTGCAGCTCCAAGCTGGTGTCCAGGTCCATAAACATTTCATATATACCTTCACCTGAAACCTCTGGGACATGAACCAAGTCTGACAAGCTGCATTTATTCCTCAAGTGTCCTGCTCTGTGTATTTTACTCAGCAGCTCAGTGCCTTCTCCCATGCTTCTTGTAGTTCAGCAGTCTCTCTGCTCATAGTTGTTGTGGTTCCTCAACTAGAATCCTTCCTGTTTGCCTTCAGCCAGTCCCTCCTCTACCAGTTTCCTGCCCAGGGCAGTAAAGTTAGGATCACTCTTTTCAGCAAGCAGGTCAATTACATCCTGTCCCAGTGATCACATGTTGCCACCCCACCCACCCCTTGAACCGACTCTGGAGGACTGTACTTTTCAATGTGTCAGGCAGAGGTACTCCCATATGGACAATGGGATCCACCAGAAGCGCACTGAGATCAGCTTTTATGTGCTGCATGAACTGCTGCTGCTCTCCCTGGGGCAGGTGCTGCACAAGAAGACTTGGGAAAATGGTAGTTTCTGGTATGCAAACGTTCATAGCAGCTTGTCTGGATCCATACAAACAATTTCATTCAAGAAGAATTGAAGCTGCTATGGCCACTTTAATTTTTGGTCCGCTTCTTAATGATCCCCAACATGCAATTAGCTGTTTTCTCAGCAGTCATATGATAGGTCAATTTTTCCATCAGCTATGTACCATAACTCCAAGATTTCATTTCTGGTCAGTTATCACCAGCTCAGACTCCTCCACTAAAGTTAGGAGTTTTTGCTGCAGTGTGCATCACTTTGCACTCACTTCCACGGAACAACCTTTAAAATGTTAATGCCCTGTCCACCAGTGTACCAATTTCCACTAGCTTCTGTGGTCTCTGGAATATTAACTGGCCCCTTCTGTCTCTTGGCAGAGCAGTGGAGCAGCAGAGGCAGAGGCTAGGAGAGAGTGCTGAGGGTGGCCAGGGACTGGCGAAGGCAAGGTAGGAGCAGGGCAGAGGAGCAGGGGGACAGGAGCAGTGGAGAGGAAGGGAGATGGGCCAGAGAGGTCAGGAGGAAGCCGAGAGTCGGGCCACTGACCTGAGAGACTTACAAGGCTTCGTCCCTTGTCTGCGTCCCTTAGCTGCATCCTGGGCTGCCTGGGGACTCACTTGCCTTTTTGTTTCTGTTTTATGTTTTTTTTTTCTTTCCCCAATTTAAATTTTTATTTTATCCTTGTGTGTGTGCTTTTATCTGGGAGAACTGGGCAAGTGAGGAGTAGTGCAGGACAAACAAGGGGGAGTGGGAGACCACGGTAGGGTCCCTGAGGGGTTCCCAATGGCAGGCCAGGGGATGGCCTTGGAAGGAATCACAGGTGTTGCTGTCTGCTGCGAAAGCTGCAACATGTTTGCCCTTCTCCCTCAGGAGAAACAGGGATACAATTGCCCTCTGTGCAAGCTGGTGACCCTCCTAGAGGAGGAGGTGAGGTACCTGAGGGCCAAGAGACCTCTCCAGCCCCCCCCCTGGGAGCAGCCCCCCTCCAGACAGAGGGTTGAGGGAGGGGCCACGGGAGGAACAGCTGGGGAGACATGGAGGCATGTCACCCACAGGAAGAGGAAGCCAGCACGGCCTCCTCCTCCTCCTGGTGCTGATCTGGAGCTGGGAAACAGGTTCTCTCCACCTGGGGAGGCTGGGGCTGATGAGGCCTTGGGGGATCAGCAGGACCCCCAGCCTGGGACCAGATGCAAGGGGGCTGCTGCAGGGGAGGTGAAGGCCAAGGCACAGCCGCCTACCACCACCAGGAAGAGACGACAGCGGGTGATTGTTGTTGGGGACTCCCTGCTGAGGGGCACTGAGGTGGCAGTGTGCTGCCCCGACCTTGAGGCGAGGGAGGCCTGTTGCCTGCCGGTCGCATGCATCCAGCATATGAAGGATAGAGTGGAGTGTCTTGTTCACTCCAGGGGTCACCAGCCACTTCTGGTGATCCATGTGGGCACAAATGATGTAGCCAGGGAGGGTGTGGGCAGGATCACCAGGGACTTTGAGGCCTTGGGTAAGAAACTCAGGGACCTTAAGGCCCAAGTGGCCTTCTCATCTATCTTACTGATCCGGGGATTTGGGCCAGGCAGGGATAGGAGGGTCGCCAAGGTGAACGACTGGCTTAGGGTGTGGTGCCAGAAGGAATGATTGGGGTTCCTTGACCTCAGCACCCGGTTTCTTGCCAATGGACTTCTGGCAAGGGATGGGTTGCACCTCATGAGGATGGGGAAAAGGTCCTTTGAAGATGCTCTAGCAAACTTTGTCTGGAAGACTTTAAACTGAGTTGGGGGGGGGGGTTCAGCCCCCCGGAAACTTGTCTGCACTGGACAAGTGTGGGGAGAGGATCAGGGCTCTGGGACCAGGGCTTTAGAGATACTGTAGGGACTGATAGAACTCCTACAAAGAGAGAGCTGGTATCAGGGAAGATGGGAGGAAGGAGGAGGCTGAGGACTGCAAAGGTTGGAAGCTGTGGGAAGAAGTTGAGGTGCATATACATGTTGAGGTGCTAGGAGCATGGGTAATAAGCAGGAAGAGCTTGAAACTCTCCTGGGAATAGGAGGGTATGACCTGGTGGGGATCAGAGAAACCTGGTGGGATGAAAGGCAAGTCTGGAATGTGAACATAGAAGGGTATCACCTTTTTAGAAAGGACAGGAAGGGAAAGAGGGGTGGGAGCATGGCTTTATGCCTCAGGGAAGAGATAGGATGCAGTGAGGTGGAGTGCAGCAAAGATGGGGATTCAGTAGAGGCAGTCTGGGTGAAACTAAGGGGTTTTGAGAGGGAAAGAGACCTGACAGTGGGGATATGTTTTCACCCTCCAGGTCAACTTTGATGATGGATGCGTTTCAGTTGTTGCAGCCTGCTGATGTGGACAAGGTGCTTGGACAAATACATCCCACCACCTGCTTACTGGACCCTTGCCCATCTTGGCTACTTAACAAAGCCAAGCACGGGATAGGGGCCTGGATCCTGGAGGTTGTCAATGCCTCTCTAAGGGACAGCCGGGTACCTGCCCCTTTAAAGGAGGCAGTAGTCCGGCCAGTCCTAAAGAAGGCATCCCTGGATCCAGAGATGGCTGCCAATTACAGACCGGTGGCCAACATCCCGTTCTTGGGCAAGGTGTTAGAGCAGTTGGGGGTGGGACAACTCCAAGCACTCTTGGATGAGGTTCCAAATGGTAAATGAGTTAAATGACAGAGACCTGAAAGATAGGGTCAGATACAGATGTGCTCAACAAGGAAACCCATAACATACTATTGCCATGTAGAGTACTCCTGTTCAGGGTTTCAGCCAATCACTTTCTTCATCAGAATATTCTGCTGCACAGCACTTCCCCTCTCTGCTGGTTGTCCATTCCCCACTCCCAAGGGTGGGTCAATCAGTCAGCATTCCATGAGCACTGGACAGATGCCATCCTCATCTGTTTTAGAGTGTTTAGGTTTCCCTGATATTTGCTTTTCCATGTCTCATGTGTCACCTGTTCCAGTTTGGCTTCCTTAGGATCCACACCCTAAGAACAAGCTTTGTGTTGGTATGGATGCATTTTACATTTGACAGCCCCTCTTCACATTGATATCCTATTCAATACTCCATAGTCTGATTTATTGCTCATTTGTGCCATGATCATTTCCTGACATCTAGGTTTGTAATGTAGGAATATACAAAATTCTGGATCACAATGAAGCCAACTGGTGTGCAAATTGTCACTGCTGCAGAGACTGCAACATTCATGATAAATCAGCTATCTTGAGTTAATACAAACTTTAATCACAGGTATTTTCCCACACATTGATTGCACTCCCCTACCCTTCTTAAGCTTGCAACTTTTGTTTTCAGTTTTGAAAGGGGGAATTTATGTTGCTGCTTCATGTTTTGCTCTTTGGTATTGTTTAGGTTCCTCAGAGACTTGTAAGTACTCCATTGACCTGAACTGAACTGGACCAATTCCTGCCCAGAACATGTTGGCATTTGTATTTGGAGAATTGTAATGCCAAGTTCTACTGCTGCAAACTAAACAACTTGCCTTAGAGCTCTACTCACTACAACCTTCCCTTCACCTCACCTTGTCTAATTCCTGCTGCTGCAGCCTCGTATCACTTTCTGCAAAGCAGAGAAGGGGAGTTGTGTGTTATGTTTTTGGCTCCTTGATTTGCTTTATTTGGCAAAACTTTCTTAGTTTGGCAGGCAAGCAGGGAGCAATCACGTTGCAAATCCACGTGCATTGGGAGCCTGGACTGGAGCCCAAAATGTGAAAGTGAATCAGGCAAGGAATGAAGCAACAGATTTGCAAATGGGGCGGGGGGAAGGAGAAGCAATTTCGGGAGGGATACACTGTGAGGACAACCACTATACAGGAGGGGTCTGGGCCAGACCTTCTCTGCAGAGATCTGTGCAGTAACAAGAGCTGCAGAGGTTTATCAGATTTCTGAAGAGTAACGGAGGGAAGTTGTCAAATTCCCTGAATGTCAGCTGAACTACCCCGCGAAATTTGAAAGTGACAAGGGAAATCAATCTTACAGTGGCTGCCATGGTAACAACAGCAGGAGAACTTTCTTACCCAGAAGTCGAAGCAATGACTGCTCCACTCAAACTGTAAGTGATCGCCCACCTTTTACAACTTAGGGAGAAAGCTGCAGAGCACAAGCATCTTCATCCACAACTAATGCACAGTTTCAGGACAAGACAGCAGCTACAGCCCTGGTCATAAAGGCACTGCAGGGCACTACAGTCACATCCTCTGTATTTTTAGAGAAATCAGTCTTGCCAGCAGGACTTAAGTGTGTGTTTAGGGATTGCCCCAGCCAGGTAGGGTGGCCTGGAGGTGGTGGGGGGGGGGGTTACTTGGAAGTAAAAGCCATTCTTCACAGTAGAACTTACACCCAAATTGATGTGTTTAGGGTGACAGCTTTGATTTTAGCACCATCTGTATAAGGACAAAAGCCTCTGCTCATATATTTCCACTGCTCCATATATTGAGTCATTAAAAAAGTGGTTTATACTATCTGGTTTGTTTGGTGAGATTACTGAATTGAGCTTGGAGGACTTTTTTGTTGAAAAGTAGCTTATACTTTTGTAAATAAACCAAAATAAATGTCTTGAATAAAGAACGAGCTTTAAACAGCTGAATCATAAAGGTTGTAATTCCAGAACCTTTACCTGGGTATAAACTACACTTAATTCAATGGGACTTAATCTTCTCTGCAGACATGTACAGGATTGTGATGGAAGTCAAGGTCATTTAAGTGATCGGGTTGATTTTTCTCCTGTTTACTCTCAACTGGAAATGAGGCATTTTCTTCACTCTGTACCTGGAACCCGGAACTGGAGTTGCTGATCCCTGGCTAAGAAGAAGGAATGGTAGAGAATGTCAAAGAATTGTCATGTGGCAACACTGTTTGTAATCCTGCCACTATCCTACATTTAAGCCCTAAAATTTGATGCCAAGCAAAGATGTACTGAGAGCAGGCCACTCCAGATCTGTTTCTAACCTCTTGTGTATCTTTGTTTACTGAAACCATTTTAGCCCTGTTCTTGAGTTGAAAAGGCTTGCAGGGCAGCTTACCACCCAGCCAGAAACAGGAGTCTCCTGGCCTTCAGGCACAGAAGCCCAAAGGGCTCTACTGATTCAAAACTGTCCCTGTGATTCACAAATTCATATATTCATAGAACCATAGGACTTGATGGGGCCAAGAAGTCCATCAGGGCCAACCCCCTGTTGGTGCTGGATGCCAAGTCACACCATCTCACTCAGATACCTGTCCAGTTTTCCCTTGAATGTCTCTAGGGTGGGAGAGCCCATGACCTCTTCTTTTCATTTTCTTCAAGGTGCTTAATAATTTTCTCCAGTATTTTCCCAGGGATCGATTGACTGGTCTATGGTTCTGTAGTTCATTGTTTTTCCCTTTCTTGTAAATAGATACAACATCAGCTCTTCTCCTGTTTTCCAAGATTTCTTTAAGACTATAGATAGTGGTTCAGAGAGTTCTTCCACCAGTTCCTTTATGACTCTAGGATGGAGCTTATCAGGTTCTGGAGACTTGAATGCATTAAGCTCATCTCAGTGCTCTTCGACCATTTGTCTTTGATCTTAGGCTGGTGTCAGGTCCATCCTGTACTTCCTCCTCTGTATGTAGGTTGTATTTTTTTTTTGTGGGAGAATACTGAGCCAAAGTAGGAATTAAGTATCTCTGCCTTTTCATCTGTTATCTTTTTGCTGTCCATGTTGAGTTGTTGAACTCTTCTAAGTTTGTCTTTTGGTTTGTATGTAACTCTCATGCATGACGCTCCGACAGAAACAGTGACTCACGAGGAGACCTTGCACTTGGCACCCAGTGCCCAAGAGTTGACCCCACAACCCAATGCAGGGACGGTTGAACCAGCTACTGCATCTTCCCCTGAGCCCCAACACATTGAGCAAACGCCTGGACCTTTATCAGAGACAGAGAGTCATGAGAAAGAGGGAGCTGCAAGTTCTACGCAGAAAGAGGCAGAGCAAACTGTCTCCTCCCCCGCTGATGCTGATCTCTCTGAGCCGGAAACAGAAGATACAATAGGTGTTGCAGATTTCTCAAAAGCCGAGAACAGACGTCTTTTATGCAGATTTGAACAACTACAAAGTAGACAGCGTAAGAGGGAAGAAAGGCGTGACTTGGGAAAATGACCCCACGAGGGCTCAGAGAGAAAGAGAAGCTATTATAGGGCTGACATCTGCTTAGCAAGGACCGCTATTAGGGAACTTATCTATAGAATTGTAAATCTTGTAGACAATTAACATTAAAGGACTTTAGTTTTATTGCTCTACAAAGAGTGGAATGTTTATATAACTGGCCCTCGACAGTAACTGAGGAAGGCTTTTTTGTTTTGAGCAGGACTCGCTAGCCTCAGTTCATACCCTGCTTCAGCTTTCCTGACTCCATCCCTGCAAGTCTTTGCTATCTGTTTATACTCTTCTTTGGTGGCCTGTCCTATCTTCCGCTTCCTATACATGCCCTTTTTTGCTTTCAAGTTGTCTCTTAACTTTTTGTGGAGCCAAGAGGGCTTCCTTTGTTGTCTTTCACACTTTTTTTAGTTCTTGCTGTGCTTTTGAGAATGTCTTTAAGATTTGCCATTCCTCTTGGACTCTTTTTCCCGTTAGCAGAGGATTTTACTTAACACTGTTTTGATTTTCTTAAAGTTAGCCCTCTTGAAGTCTAGGATACTTGTTTGGCATGAGTTGACTCTTGCCATCTTCATAACTGAAAGTTCAAAAATGGCATGGTTGCTTTCCTGCATGGAACCTGTGGCTGCTACTCTGTCCACAAGATCTTCCCTGTTGGCACATATTAGGTCAAGTGTGGCTCTTCCTCTCATCCTTTCCTCCAACTTCTGCTGGAGGAAGTTATGAATGACACATTCAGGTTACATAGAAACATAGAAACAGAGTGAGTCAGAAGGTGTCTCCCGGGCCATCTAGTCTGATCTCTGGCACCAACCGGCTTCGCTCACAACATGCCCACCATGTGGACGCCCAGCCTATTCTTGAACACCTACACCGATGGGGCCTCACCAACCTCTCGTGGAAGCCCATTCCACACCCTCGGGGTCCTGACTATCAGGAAGTGCTTCCTGGCATCCAAATGGAACCTTAGCTCCCTGAGCTTTGCTCCTCTGGAGCGTGTCCTGCCTTCCTCTGCAGGGGAGAATAGGTCTCTAACCATCTCCATGTGATATCCGCTCACATACCTGTATGTCGCCAACATATCCCGAGTCTCCTCCAGGCTGAAGAGACCTAGTTCCCTCAGTCTCGCCTCATATGGCATCCCCTGCAAACCGGCCACCAACCTCGTGGCCCTACGCTGCACTGACTCTAACCTGGCTATATCCTTTCTGTAATGAGGGGCCCAAAACTGAACACAATACTCCAGTTGCGGGCGCACCAGAGTCGTGTAGAGTGGTAGTAATACCTCTCTTGATCTAGAAGCCACACTTCTGGCTATGCAACCAAGGGTGGTGTTAGCCCTCTTGACCACCGCATCACATTGCTGACTCATGTTTAGCCTGCAGTCAACTAGTACCCCGAGGTCCCTTTCACAAGTGCTGCTCTCCAGCCACTTGTCCCCCAAACCTGTACTTATGACACCTATTCCTAGACCTTGCACTTATCCACATTGAACGCCAACCTGTTGTCTCCTGCCCACTTCCATCGTCTGTCCAGATCCTTTTGGATCTGGAGTACCTGCTCCTCAGTTGTGGCCATTGCTCCAGTTTTAGTGTCATCTGCGAATTTGATCAGCAGACTATTCACCCCTTCTTCCATGTCGTTAATGAAAAGATTAAACAGGATCGGTCCCAGGACAGAGCCCTGGGGGACCCTGCTTGTCACTGGCTGCCATCCCGATGATTCCCCACTAATGGTTACCTTCTGCTTTCAGTCAGTCAACCATGCCCTAATCCACCGGACAGTGCTTTGGTCTATCCCAAAACTCCTCAGTTTCTCCACCAGGATATCATGGGGCACTTGGTCAAAGGCCTTGCAGAAAGCCAGGTATACCACATCCACTGCATCCCCCCCCATCTAGCCATCTCGAAAACTTGTCATCGAATTCCACAAGGTTTGCCTGGCAGGACCTGTTTTTGAGGAAGCTGTGTTGTGTGGCTGTCAGCCTCCCTTCCCTATCTAGCATCACTAGATCTCTCTCTATTATGAGCCTTTCCATTGTTTTTCCTACAATGGACGTAAGGCTAACTCATCTATAATTCCCCATGTCCTTTCTACTACTCTTTTTGAAAATTGGGACCACTGATGCCACCCTCCAGTCCTCTGGAACTTCACCCGTTCTCCACAAGGTCTCAAAAATGGAGGCCAGCGGGCGTGAGAGAACCCCTGCCAACTCTCGAGGTACTCTCGGGTGTAACCCATCAATCACTGGATCTCCTTCCTCCTTATTTAGCGGTCCCACCACTTGTCTCCCCTTCCTCTTCCTATTTACATGCTGAAAGAAGCCCTTTTTGTTGCTCTTGATATTCTTGGCAAGTCTCAGCTCCTAATCAGCCTTAGCCTTGCGAAGAATCCTTCTGCAACGGGCCTCCTCCTCCCGGTATACCCTTTTGCCTATTTGCCCCAGTACCCATTTCCTACGGAGGTTCCTCTTTCGTCTAATCCCTCTAACCACCTCCTTTCGCATCCATGGCGGCACTCTCCTCTGCCTCCCCACCTTACTGACTAGAGGTATCGTCAAGGCTTGCGCCTCCAAAACCTCTCTTTTGAGTGCTATCCACCCCTCCTCAACTCGCTTACCTTCCAGTAACGTATCCCAGGAGACTTTCCCCAGTCTGGCCTTCAGTTGGCCAAAGTTGGCCCTCTTGAAGTCCCAGCTTCTAGTTCTCGACCTGCTGCATGTCCCCAGTCCCCTGATCTCAAAGCGAAGGATGGAGTGATCACTCGCATCCAGAGCTCCCCTAATCTGTACTTCACCTATTAGCTTCTCCCTGTTGGTCAAGACCAAGTCAAGGATGTTTCCCCCCTCATCGCCTCTCGGACCCTCTGTGTGAAAAACACTCCCTCTATAGCTTCTAGGAAGTGAGGAGACCTGGCTGTCACCGCCGAGTGAGTC